AGGACAGAAGGTGGAAGTCTGAGAAGGGGATGGGATGGGATGGAAACGTGTCAAAGACAATCAGAACAGTGTAAATTATAAATGTATGTAAACGTAGTATGTAAATGCCAGGACCTTCAAAGTGATCTCTTTGGAGTCTCTAGGTGACCTCTTTGGAGTCTCTAAGTGACCTTATCCTGGGATCTCAAGGACGGTCAATTTGGTAGGATGCATTCAGGTCTTTTGGTGCACTACAAAAGATTTGAAATGGTTCACGGCTTGACCAGTGACCTGACCAGTGACCTAATCCGTTGTTCGTTCACCGTGGCAACATGCGTTCGCCGTGGCTCGACGGATTTCCTGGCCTCGATGCGGCAACATTGATCTATCCGGAGTGCTTTCAGTACGGACTGGATGTCGTGCGGTCATCTTCTTCCGCAAACCGGTGGAGTCCGCACAGATGCGAGGCATGTCGACTGTTTCGCACCCACAGCCAGCAACATCAACACCATTGGGGAAACACTCCAAAGGACTGGCATAGGACTGCCGATCAAGCCAGGGGTGGTTGAGAAACCAGATCAAGGCATCTCAGCACCAGTCTCATGGAGGAGCCTTGGAGTGTCTGGGTGGAGGAAGCCCTTCAGGAGAGGTGGCACCTCCTGTACGATCTGTAATAGTAACACACAACCGACCCGTGCCCCCGGTCAGCGCGTATGCCGCCCCAGCCACGGAAGGGTGCTTGGTCGCTGAGCAAGCGTTGGTTCTGGGCCACAGCAGCCTTGAACCTTGCGATGCTGCTGCGATCCGACCTGGAGGTCGAGCAGGGAGCAGGGCGGTGGCCGTGGGCGGTGGCCGTGGGCGGTGGCGAAGTATTGGCGCCTGCACAACAGTACTTGGATGTTCAGAATGGCGATTCATGGGGGTTGTAGTCACATCAATCAACAGCCAAAGCCCCTCTGTCATGATACCTGACCTACAGGGACCTCCTCAACTTCGGAGACGAGTCCTTATTTACTGCTCGGAATCACTTATGTTTGACCATTTCTAAAGCTGGAAACTGGAAACTTGACAAAACTTGCTGGAGTCCTCTCTTCAAACTTGATGATTCTTTAGCGGACTTAAGGCCACTGCCGCTAGTTGGACGCTGGGTTCCCCGACATCAAACTGGCTTCACCCACTGGACTGGAAGGTGTGGCCTCCAGGGCCGCCGGCGTCAAGGGCTCCTTGGTTTCGGGGCCGTGGATCCGTGGACGCCTCCAAGATCGATCGGTCCAATTGGTCCATATACCTTGGTTTCCCGACAACCATAATGCCATACTTGGAAGAACTTGGTGGAACCAGAAGATCCAGATAGATCCAGCAACCATACTTACTTGGTTTTTCGGCCAAATTTAAGATGAAGATGTTGGAAGATGTTGGAAGATCCGGCCAAGGAGTCCTGTAACTTTCGGAGATGAAAACAGCAGCAAACAAGAATGGTCCGGTTCTGTGTCTATACCTGTTTAAACATGATCTTCTTTTTCTCACACCTCGGAATATTGAGTTTTGCTTTTTCACGACTCGCCCGACGGTCCAACAGCGCATTAAAACGGTCGAAAAAGTCTCCCTCCTCCTGATCGTTCTGATCGCGGTGAGCAGTTCTTTTTTTGGGGGGGCGATGTCTTTTTGCGGGAAGGCTTTGGAACGTTTGTTCCGGGGATGGGGTGGAGCAAGAAGGACTCGGAGCCGCCATAGACCTCTGAATCCCTCAAAGTTTGGAGCTTGAGAGTTTACCTGGAGGGAGTTGGAGCCAAAAGCAACCCAAGCTACCATGGCAAGTCGCTTTTTGTGTGACTTCTTCCTGTCTTTTACCCCAAAGGCCCAAAGCAAAGACACAAATCACCACAAAAGCATCATCCTTCATCCCTTAATCCTTCCTGTTCATGTTCATCACCCCTAATCACTTGGCACAACCCCATTTACAGCGACACAGGACGGTGCGCTGGGCTGAGACTTGTCGACCTTGCTTCCTGTTCGGTCCGCAATGTCCGGGAACTGCACGTCCAAAGCTCCGTCATCATGGCCACCAGCCGGGGCGATAAGTGATGCCTGGCATGGCGGTGGGATTCTGAGGGAGGGTCCGAAACACTCCAACCCTCTTCAGCTTGGAACATAAGGCCTAGGCCCTGACCTCTCCGGTTCATCAATTTGAGTGATCAATCAGGTCCAAGAAAGGTGTTTAAGGATTTTCAAGCTTATCTACCAAGGGGGCAGTGGGTTTGCCTAATCTCTTGATTCTCTTGGTACCGAGAGCTCTCTCCAGCTCGAGAGGTTCACTCCGAGTAAAGGCGATGTTCACCGGAGGTTACTTAATCCAGGGCCGAGTATCCCTCGGATTTATCCTGGTTGCTGCAACAAGTACTGCATCTTCCTGCAATCAACTAATCACAGATTAACAAATAACATGCATATGTTTGTACAGGTCCTTGCTGGCGTATGTTGAGGGAATCTGACTCTGACCCTGAGGAGCTTCGGGTTTCAGCGCAATGACAAAGATCCAATAGCTTTGGAGCCTTCGGAGTAGCTATAACATAGCAATTGTAGTTGTAGGCATATATAATCAGCTCGAGCACCCAATACCAAACCAATTAAAAACCTAAATTCCACATGTCCATCACCCTAATAAAGTTTCCCTTGGCAGAAATCTCCCCATATTAATAAAGCCCAGCTGCCCCAGAAAAACAAAGTAGTTTACACTAATATATGTGTATTTATATTACTTGTTATTTACTATCAAGCCCAGTATCCAATACCTTCTGGTCAGCATCCATTGTTCCACAATCCCTAAAAACCTCTCTAGCATAATTCTTTCATAACTCTATCAGCCTTTATTAGCGGGATGTGGTCTCCTAAACCTCCAATCTCAAACTTGTTGACCTTGTTGACCTTCAAGGGTTGGGCCGTTGATCAATCCTACGTCGACATTAACTTGCACTTCAGGCCATGGATAACCTGTTGCATTTCACTCACACAACAACAACAACATCATCATCATCAAAGAAAGGCACCAATCAACTACATCAGCAACCCCTGGTTCGCGTGTCGTGTTATTGTCATCTTTGTCCGACGGCTTGAGCCGAGCCACTATTCAGCCACTGAGAAGCGCAGGTCGTCTCTAAACAACCCCCAAGAAAAGGCACGTGTGGAACAACGTCTTCCAAGTTCAAGTGATCGAACTTACACTCCAGTGGAACTAACATGAAGTGGATAATGGCCCCTTGGAAGACAATTTCCCATACAAACAGGTGGTTGTCCACTTCCATGTTAGTTCCAGGGAGAGTAATCGAAAACGCATGAAGTTGCTATGAGAAATGGACAAAGTGTATGGTTTCTCGTGACGACCCAAGGCATTGGTTTTGCCAAACCTTCTGGCTGATGTTGCTTACAAACATAAGGATGTTGGAACCCTTCTCGTGGATGTAACACATGGATGAAAATTAGTTCCAGAATTCCACCATGTTAAGTTCTTTCAGGTTCTTTCTATTTCGATCATTGTTTCTTTCTTTGAGCCACATCATGCAACTTCGATCTCCGCTTTGGTCACTTGCAGGTCCAACCAAACCAAAACAGGTCGTCCTGTTGAAGTGAGCCAAAAACGCTTCCCAACTAGGGTCAGACTCTCGGCTCCCTAAACATCCAAAACACACCCACATGTTCCAGAGCGACACCTTGTCCATCCTTTTCCCAACCAAAAACATATATTATATATATATATAGTCCTCTTTTTCAGCACCACCCGTTTCGGGTGGTTATTGGATGGAACATACATCTTCAGGGGCTGTACAACCCTAAAACACCCGTTTTTTGGGGGATGGTGCTAGTACAGTCACTATATATATGTCACTATAATATGTGGGCCCTGATGGCCAGTTCCTAACGACCTGAGGATTCACTTCAATCCTGGTCCTTCTACGGTTTTTCAGATCACCCCGGTGGCTCACCGCCTGGGACTCACCATCCGTCCCACTCGTCACCCGCCTGGCAATGAGAGAGGCCAAATCACGGTCCCAGTGCCAGATCCGCAGCAAATCCATTGGTCTGCTCCATGAGGGGAGCAAGAACCCCACGCAGTGCCAGCCGCTCAGACCGGGGGTGTTGGGTGTTCCATGTGTTTTTTCGCTGTTTCGCCTGAAAAACACTGCCTTGATCAGTTCGTTTTCTCCGCTGGTGTCACAGGACCTACCGTGACCTACTTCACTAAGTGACAACTCTTTGAGTATTCTCCTACGCATTCGATCCTTTTCGCACCACTCAGAGCGAACCAACCAAACACATCCCCCAAACATCTCCAACAGTTAAATGTCAATGTCATCATGGTGTTTTCATGCAAATCGGCTTCCTCAGACGACCTGCACATCCTCCGATTCTGAGGAAGCGTCGTCTCAGTCATCTCGTGTCTCCAGCCTGTTCTCCGTCTCCAGTCTCAGCTGGTTTTTGTGAAAGCAACACGAGAACAACACAGAGATCATAGATGGGGTAGGGACACAGCCTGATCTGCGAGTCGTTGCTTACTTCGAGAATACTTGCCGCCTCTTGATTTCAAGGTTTGAGCATGGCTGCAGGTCCATGAACTTTCCACTCGGAGAAAGGCGAAGAAAAGGAGCTTCCCAAATTGATACGAAACCATTTGAATCCATTTGACATACTTTTCGAGAGGAGGTCCAAGAAAGTTAAATCCACGAGTTTGACATAGAAAGGATCACTTGCAAATTGATCCTGGGGGTAGTCTGATGGGGTCCCTCTTGGTTTGCATTGAGGTTGGCCTTCTCCCAAAAGCAACGACCACAGGATGGCAAAAAAAAGAAACACTTGCCAAATGGTGACCACACCATTCTCAATCCAGATCAACCTGAACATTTGGACCCATCCCATCTCTCGTGATGTAACTCCCTTTGATTTCACGGCATGCGTCGGACCTCCCGATGCAACCGGACCGTAGCCTAGCTTGGCGATCCCGTCCGAAGCGACGCTTCGAGCCCCGCCTCAAGATGGGTCGCTGGTAGAAGACGCGCTGGGCCAGGCGCCCGGTGCCCTGACCGGCGCCGGTCGCCCGAGCCCCGGGACAGCCCGGCACATGTTCCGTGCAGCACGCTTCGAAATAGGACTTGGTGGTGAACACACCAACACCCACCGGCAACTCGGGGCTTGGAAGTACAGGAAGTACAGAAAAGAGGGGTGTTGCAGTTAAGGCGATCAACAAAGATAAACACGCGGATCCTGTTCTAGCTGGGGTGCTGCCTAATTTGAACATAAGGACATCAGGCCAGGGTGCCCTAGAAGTTCTCTACGACCAGAAGCAGGTTTGAATGTATACACACCTTTCAAAACAGAGGTCAAATTAAATGGGCTCTAGGCAGTTGTTGGCCCACACCCATGCAATTGCATTGACGACCAGCTTCGACCCAAGATCCCAACATCAGCAAGCCTTGAAGGTACAAATTGCATACTCTATAGACAAAATGTGATTGGACAAACCCACTAACTGACCCCACCGACGTTCTTCATTTTGTCATGGAAACACCCGTGGAAAAACCCTCATCACATCTCATCATCACAAGTCAGCGTGTTGTTCTCAAGTGGCTTGAGAGATGGAAGGTTTAAGGTTTGACATCATGTCCAGCTGGTTTGTCTCACAAGTTGTACTCTCAAAGTCAATCTGATGTACGTACTACCTTAATTCTTTTCACCAGCTGCAACCAGTCCGGAACCTGCACTTTTCAACGGATGCGCCTCATGTTCTTCCATTGTTCATCCTTGCACTGCTCAACACAACAGAAGGAGGGCTCAAATGCCTGCATGATCTCCCCATGTTCAACTGCACTTGACCTCATGCAAAGCGCCTTTCATTCCCAGCGATGCAGTGCAAAGAATGATCAAAAGATGGCTACCGACCCTCTAGACAAGGCACTGGGTCTCTCATCAATCGACATGCGATCTATGCGACATAGCATCGATCACCCGCCGGAGTTGCCGCAAAAAACACCACCAAACAATACAATACCGGGACCGTTGGATCCTCTTGGCGACACCAAGGGTGTCTCCTTCGCACTGCAAGGCACATGGCTGAACTCCTCTTCCCCCCTGCACAAAGGACTGGCTCCTGATGCTGGTCAGCCCCCCCTTTCTGAGAGACGGCCATCGATACTGAATATTACTACAACATCATCACCAGTGGATCAGTGGATGACGAAGGTTAGTAAAGGCCATTCTCTAGAGTAGTGATAACTGTTAACCGACTGTTGCAGGTAATAGGACAAACCCCAAATAGTCCAATAGGCTTCTAAATTGGCGACCTGGTAGATTTTTTTGTTGGGTCCTCGAATGAACACTTGGATCGTCAATTCATGCTGTGGATGAATGAACCCCGCCACCCAGAAACATCTAAAGCCAACATTCCTGTCACCCAATCAATTCATGACTTGTGGCACCTCCGCTGGCCGATTTCAGCCGAGCCACGCTGCTCTCACTTTGGAGAGCGGCGCGCGCGAGGCCGCGGGACACCGCGGGACGCCGGCGGCGACGCCATCAGCGGTCACCGACACCAACGCCACCCAGCCTGCCACATGTCGTGGAAGATTCGCAACTTCTGGAAGCAACAGCTGACCACAACGATATATCCAATCATGAATGAGATATGTATATATATACCTAGAACCTCCAACAACCACAAATTTCTGCCTCGAGACAAGTCTGCCTCGTTTGCAAAAGTATGCCTCGTTTGCAAAAAAGTGCTCGTTTATGTTTTGTCATGTTTCGTCTCACCCTCCACAACAACCCACAACATGCACAATCACACTTTGTCCTGGGCCTTGCACACAGTCATCAGCCGGGTAGCCCAGCTGGATCCGAACGCTTGGAAGCTTTCCGGGAAGCTTTCTGCCATTGAAAGGCATATTCAATCAACACCTTTTTCAGTGTTGCCACAATGGCCAAACTGTGGGTCCGGCGTTCAGCTCTCGCCACTCTCCCAATAAAATCTTCATCTGACCAACAGGCCAGAGCACCCAAACTTAATACAAACCGGCACTCAGGATCCTCTAAAGGATATCGAAGGTCAAGCCTTATGTGAAACACATGAGTTGGGAAGGTCTTTGCACACCACATCACCGCTAAGTCTTACATTAGTGCTTCTATGTGGCACGCAGTGTTGCATCATGTGTACTTTTGGGCGAAGATAGTAGAGGCTCCAATTCTGTTGCTTGCTCAGGTAGGCCATGGCTCCATAAGCCTCCTATTAGCAGAGCAAGCATTGATTTGGAGATTGGCGACAACAATCCGCTTTTGTAAGCCTAGTTTGTAGGATTGGCGACAACAAGGAAAGCTTACATGCTTCTTGAGCAAGGTTCTGTCATAGACCACCCATCTGCCACAGCTTGCTCTGCTTCTTGGCGGGTCAGCCAAAGCTTGCCATAACATGCACGGAAAAAGCGGTTGCTAACGTGCAGGCTCCATTTGACCACTCTGAAAAGATCTTGGCAATTGTCCTAAGCTTTAGCACGTGTCCAACAGGCGAATGGAATGGAAGAGCCAATGCCCACTAGAACTGCAAGAATAGAAAGGTTTACTGGTATTTCCAAGCAGGTATCAGGAACCATGTCAGCTGTCACCTGTTCAAGGACATCCTCCAACCATCTAGCTATCAACGAGGCATCACTTCCCTTTCCAAGGCCACGCGGATAGTCTTGAAGCCTGAGGGGTCATGAAACATGTTTGAGGCCTGTTGTAAGCTTAGTCGACAATGCCACCAAGAAAGGCTTACTGTCCTCCGAGTAACGATGTGATTTTGAGTTCAGACTTGGAAAATTCCTTGATTGTAGATGTTTTGTGACGTCGCTGGCACCATTCATTGAAGGAAGCAAAAGCGTCTTCAAGTTGTTCTTCAAATGGGGCCCGTGAAAACAAAGAACATCTCACTGCTAAGAAGATTAGATGGCTGGCTAGCTCATCCTTGCCATATCCTGCAATGGCATAAGTATGGGCAATGTCCGTCTTGATTTGTGCGACACTGTCTTGATGAGGTTGGATACTTCGGAGTGCAGCTCGAGGGCCAGAATGGAACGGACTCTCAGCACGATCATTACGGGAAAAAGCTCGCGTTGATCCATTGGCTGTCAAGTCGTGCCAATCCTCAATTTCACCGAGTTTGGGTGGGGGAAGGGGCAGCAGGTAGAGTCACAACTCCTTCAAACCAGAAGGTATATCGATAAGCTAAGGGTCTGTTCCTTCGCACAAGTGGCATATCCTTCGGGAAGTGTAGCCAGTCTTCAACTTGAAGGCCGTTCTAAGGAACGGCCAATCTCCTTTTGTCCCACAGTATTGCCAATACCACGTCATGTTTTGGCCTTCAAAGTTCACCTATCAGGGACCATATTGAGGAGACCAAGCTACCTATGATCATGCAACCATGCAAGGTTTTGCGACATGTACCCCCGCACCTGTACCCCTTCTTGGCTGGCAGCATTTAGATCTGCAACCAAGGCTTCCAGCAGAACCTGTATTGTTTCCCCTTTTCCAGCGTACCTCTCCGATGGAATTGAAGTGTATATCATCCTTGTCAAATAGGTGTGCCTTGGAAACCATGACAGTGTCCACCACAAAATCACTACAGTAGTGCCAGTGCCAAAACTTCCCCCTCCGAAGAACAACAAATAAGAAGAACTTGCCAAACATGTAGAGAGAGTACTCTTTGGAATTGAGCTTTTCCCCTTTACCGAGACCAAGAATGGGCTGAATGCTGACTACCATCAGGGGCCGCTTCACTTGCCCACGGCCCTCATCGCCGTGCGCAAATAGTGGAATTGTTCTCGTTAGCACGATTGGAGCGACAGCAGGGTCCTGATATTGATATCTGGACCAGAATTGGCTCAGCATGGACTCAATAGCTGGAAGGTCTTCCAGCCTATGACCTCCCAAAACTTGCATGCCACGGTAGCTTGGGTGCTCCAAGCACACCCGCATCCAATCCCGGGGCATCAGGGTCGGCCAAGGTTCCCAAACAATCTTGTTTCTCCTTCTAAATTTCCTGGCTCGCAATGGTGCTTGCACCCTTGTGATCGGCACTTGTAGATTGATACCCTTCTTCTCTACAAAACGATGAAGGTTCCTACTTTGGTTCTTCTTCTTTTTGTCAAACTTGCTCAAGGCCGCCAAGTCAGAGATGGCCGGTTCATAGACTCCTCAGATCATGATAGCATGAATTTCGTTCAACCCATGTGTTTTGCAACGATTTCCCTGCTCAATATACATTGCCGAGGCTCCATGACGGGAAAGGAGTTTCTCCGTCTTCTTGGCCTGGGATACAACGTCCTTCGCCGTAGCCTCAGCTGGAGAGACAAGATCCGGAAACACGGCAGTCTTTGGTCGCAAAACTTCGTGACAAGAAACTCCATGGGCAAAGTTGGCTATCATATCTCCCGGAAGGTCGTCATCTGATTCACCAGATGAATCAGAGCAACCCCAGCAACCTTCACAGACAGGCCAACAGAAGTATTCCCTTTGCATGCTTGTAGAGTTTTACCTGAGGCTACACAAAAAATACTCTTAATCTCAAATGTTTCCGTCAAACTGTGAAACGCAGGCCCGCACCTGTCCGAGTGGCCAGAGAAATTCCCCGATGACCTGGCATCCCAACTAGATTGCATGGGGTGTGCTTGAGTGGGAGGGCTTGTTCGATACCATGTGATTTTTTCAAACACCATGCCACGACTGCCAGGGCATGGTTTTTCCAAGCGGGTCATATCTGGATCACAATGGTAGATCTGAAACACACCAAATTAGCAGACACATCTTTTTTGGTGGGCCCTTTGTGTCAAAAGAGCTGCGGCGCGATCCATCCTCAAACAAAAAGCTTGCTATCCACAGTTGATTGTTTTCGCATCACGCCCTCAGCTCGAACACAACCCCAGGCACCACCAAGCATCCGCTTGCTAGGACTTAGGGCGCACCCTGCTGGCTAGGCTTGGCCGTTTTGGCCCCCTTGGTCTTCCCCTTGTCGTCAGCCGATTTTTTTGACCGAGACTTCGGGTGGGACTTGGTTTTCGAATCGTTCTTAGCCTTAGCGGTCTTAGCGCTATTTGCCGGCTTCGCCTTCGACTTTGCAGATTGAGTGCCTCCTGCCTCCGATTTCACTCCCCTTAGTTGCCACCAGGGTGAACTGTGAAATCTAAAAACGGGTGGAAGGTGTTGGAAAGCAAGGCTCCAAGTCCTGCTTTGTGTGTTCACTATATGGAGCTACAAGCACGTACCGTGGAAGAACCCGACACCTCACTGTATTTTGTAGGTCCTGTGGTGAGATGTGGAAAAGGAGCTATCGATCGACCTATCGACTCCCAGGTGGAAGGCTGATATTGTTCTAAGGCTCCTTTAACGTTTGGGGTGCAGTAAAACTTGAAGGTTGGGATAGAACGGCTTCTCTTGAGGCAACTTCAGATACACTGCCAAAAAGACATACCTGTCAATGATTTCCTGCTGCTATTCCTTTAGCTAGCTTTGTTGCCCCAACCGTTGTGCAGGGCTAGGAGCTTTGAACGCACGAGCATTGCATTCATAGCCACATCCAATTTGGTGCACTCCACAAACTTGCCGGTGAGGTCGTCTCGCTTCGCCCTGGAAGAGATATAGGGCTTCAAGGGTGTTTGAAACACAGAGTTGCCAGTGAACACATTAAGCAAGCGACAGTGAATCTAAGCGAATCTAAGTGCATCTAAGAAACTTGTCAAAGGTCTCAGGGGACACCGTTGCTTCAGAAAGAACATTGGTCAGCGCTTCGTAGAGACTCTGCATCTTCCCATGGTATGTCGTCAAAGTCTGGTGCAACCTAGGTCATCCCAAACCAAGAAGTGACAGCCTAGTACAGAAAAGATTGCCCTTCCAATAGATTTGGTCAATGACTAAGGCATGTCCGCATATTGCGGCCCCGGAACGCTGAAGCTGTCGGGGCCTTGATGCCCTGAAGCCGCTCCTGGTATTGAAGAAGTCTGGACACAAATAGGTTGGAATATAATTGGTGGCACCGCACTGCATACAATCGGTCCTTCTCAGCGCAAATTTTATCAATTTTGCGTCCAAGTACTTCCACAAAGCTGGGTAGAATCTGGAGCGGACTGGACGAGCTAGTGATCGTAGGGAAACTCAGCCTGAGATAGATACTGGCATGGCGAACAACGGAGCTGTAAGAATGAGGCAATTCACTTGCAAATCAACCACAATGCAATTACATCAATGTGTTGTTGAAAGGAAACTTGAAGGACATCACACTTGCAGTGTTCCCCAGCTGCTCCCCTGCTTGCCCAGAGGTGATGGGAGCTGCTGATCCCATGCCAGGCACCACCGCAGTGCCAGGCGCGGCATTAAAGCCAACCAGATCGGAGTTGAAAAGAGAGCCCTCTGGGTCCTGGCTGACTGTCTTGGAAGTTGAAACATGAGCAAAAATGGCCCCGCATGGCCCCACCAACACTTTCAAGCAAAAGGCTGCAAAAGCTTATAGGGCCGTTTTTCTAGTCTCTCCATGGCAAGCGTCCGAACATGGAAGAATTGTTTTTGAGCACCCCTCCAACCCCTCCTCAACAGAAATATTGCCAGATTGCTCTAGTTCCTCAATTTGGCTCTTATTCATTGAGAAGGTCTCCGACGCGATGATTCGAATTTCTTCTTCCCCATGAATTGGATTCACACGCCACTGGTTCTTCGACTTCGCCCACGCCCACGCTTTGGCAATCATACTCCTTGGCATGTTTCTAACTAACGTGTCCTGACCATCGACCCCACCTTGCATGAATTTGTTTATCATTCAGGTTAGACTCTTTGTGTATTTCTCGCATTGCTCGAGCTTGTTCTTTGTGTACCATCCTCCAGCCTTTTGCTCGCTGTCCTCCCTGATCTGCTTCTTCTTGAGAGCCAACTCCATGCATTCAAAGCTCCCGTGTTCCAGGAACATTTTCTGGAGCTCCTTGCCTCAAGAATATCGAGTGTTCACACAAACCCATGACACCTAAACACAATCCAAATTGCATGTATATATACTTACACCAGGGTGCGTCCAGCGGGGTCATTCCACATCTTGAGAGCCTCTGCTGAGCACTTGAGTCCACCCGCTTTGGGTTTGAAATATCGACGTAGCCTCAGGATATGAGCAGGTTAGAACTAGCCCTAGACAAATTTGTTTGGACATCACAACTGACTACCACTGCTTCCCTGCAGTCTAAAAGCTTCCAGTATGGATTCCCAGCACTCGATGCTACAGACTGTGTCTCATGTAACTCATCATCAGCGACGCTTGTGTTTGTCCGAGATGAGGGTGATGGGGCTGGCAAAGCCTCTACAGGTGACTTTGGCAGTGAAGCTGCTGCGGGTGGCACTGGCAGCACAGCAGGTGCGGGTGACACTGTCGCCTGGTGTGCCGGTGGGGCTTTGCCAGTCACAGGAGGATCTACAAAGGTATCTGGCAGTTGAGAGTCAATGCCAAAGCTTTCTGGCAACTGATAATCATTGCCATAAGTATCTGGCAGAGTGGGGTTGCCAGCACAAAACTGTCCGTTCTGTTGGGCAAAGCATGGGGCTCCTCAGATCATAACATAGAAACGCCCCAGACCAAGATGTCGATAGCCCAGAAACAAAGCATATGCAGCTAAAGTATGAACTGTTCAGATTGGAGCAAGCATCCAGGAATGCCTGCGCTTGGTGCTTCAGTCGAAGCCTGATTAGACAACTTGCGGCGAAGAGCTTGGATCCGCTCTTGGCTTGCCTACAGGCACACAATCAAGAGAGGCTACAGAAACGCTGGAAACCCTGCAGTGTCACACACACATGCCTAAACCTAAACCTGATGGCCAAGCCACCAGAATTTTCTCCTGGAGTTCCCGCTTCCGGTCCGCAGGCACCACACCATCACACTTAACAGCATTCATGCCATTCAACAAAGTCTCCGAAGAATGAAGTCGGGTGGTCATGTCAAAGCCCTTCAGCCAAAAGGTCGCTGAACAAAACACATGAGGGCAAAAAGTCCAAAGTAGATCCTGAAGTCTAGATGTGCAGCCAACAAATCGAATCGTAACGTCTTAAGGACCGATATGGACCGATATGGACCGATGCAGTCGAGATCAAAAATTTCCAAAAGAGGCAGATTCTAGATTTGCGCCTTTTTGCGCATATTTGCGCCTCATTGCGCGTATTTGCGCCTCGTTTGCGCCTCCGTTTTTTCCCGACAAAAGTGGCTAAAGCGCGAAAGTTCCGATCGAATTGCTGAAAAGTCAGCAAAACACAAACAAATTGGCAAGTCACACCTGGCCAACTAGCCAAGTACGATTCTTCTACACCACTTGAACGACTTGAAGAGCAACACTATGTGTGCTCTGTCAAAAGCTGCTCGTATTCTGCGCGGAGTTGTGGATCACCCAGCACCTGCCAAAGACATTGGTTTGTCATGGTTTCTTAGTTAAGTTGAAGAAAATGGGAGAGCATGATTCCTTCAAGCACCTCAGCTTTATAGTCGGCTACAAACTTCTCCATCGTTGATTGCCATTCAGGAGGGATCCTACAGAAAAGCATATGTGGTGACAGAAAGGGAGAGCACATGAGAGCACACATGTCACAGAAAAGTGCACTACCCCCAAAAGTCCTTATATGTTTTGAGGACATTGCGTACAGCATTGGTTGCAACAAATTGGCATCTTCCCAAAGATCTCCCATCGGAAGGCTTTCAAATTGGGCTACAGGATCCAACTTGTTGACCTGCACTTTGAACCTCAAGTCCCGGTGCACAGCGGCCGCCAGGTGAGTTTCAAAAGCCTGCCGCAGACAATGTCCAAATCCAGAAGGATACTGCCTGGAGGTTTCGCAAGTTGGGTGGAGTTGGGAATCTGTATCCACCACCATGTTTTCCATGTGATTACTCTTTGGGCCTAGGTGTACTTTGAAGAAACATGTGCACAGACAAGAAGCTGGGAAGATTTGAGCTGGCCAGTTCCATGAAATTTCACCTCGCCTTTTGAATTCACATAACGCCCTTGGTTCTCCGCTCATGCACGCTTAGTATGAAGAACTACCAAGAAAAGCTGTTTGCGAACATGTATGCAACTGGGGAACTGGTTAGTGTGCTGCTTGTCTTGGAGGTTCTCACATCCTTTTTCAATTTGCCCAAATAATTTCCTGCATGTTTGAATAGCACCAAGTCCGCTTGCTACTGGGTGCCCCGTGTAGGATCATCCAGAAAGCCGACCGCCAAACCTGAGATCCAGCGAGGTAGCTCTGTTTAAACAAAACAGACTGCATGCGTACAAACAGCAGCTCGAGGTCGAGGAACCCATGCCACAGTGTTGCACATCCAACTAAATCTTTTGTGGTTCTCTAATAGTGATCCATGTGGTTGTTCAACAACCCAGGCTATGTTGCGACTCATAGCGAGAAGAATGCATAGCGCAAGCCTTAGCTGGGCTGGACCCTCTAATTTTTTCCAACCACCTTTGACAAATTGTTTGATGAATCTGTGCACTGCCACTCAATCAGTCGGGTATCCGAGAAATCATACATGAGGAGCCTCTCACCCACGCCAAAAAAATGTTTCCATGGATGTTCACTCTTGTTCTCCATGATGTTCCTCGGGCTGGTATGCCCCAACTGGAGCAGTCGGGGCCTGCTAGGAACAAGCCGCAGCTGTCCGTGTGAATCAGAATCCACATCGCCAACCTGAGGCAAGGAAATGCCGAGCGAAGAGGGATCGTTGGTTCATCCAACAAGTTGTTGGTTAGCAAACCTATAAGCTAAGTTGCACCAGGCCAGCGCTTCCTAAGAAGTTCATCCCAGATTTACAGTAATCCCAGTCATAGGATGCTGTGCTATACCCTGATTCGGTCCTGAGCAACTGAGGGCACACCAAGACCTACCACAAGAATCATATCGATATAAGAAAGGAACCGCTGTGTTTGGGTCTAGGTAAGGGGCATTTAGCAGTGTGTCTTTTCTGGGGACAGGACATGACACGCGACACTGCAGCCTTTCCACTGAACAACTCGAAGAATTGAAACCGCTCCGTAGGGTCATGGTCTGGCAACTGAAGCCATCCAACCAATAGAACCTGAGGTTGCCCATTTGGTTTGGTTCAAACTTAAATCTTTGAAAGCGCATCGAGTTGAGCCCGAGTTGAGGCCATGACCAAGGCAATGAAAGCCTCCAAGGAATCATCAGCATATGCAGAATCCCTTCCAATATAACATTTCAACACGCATGCAATAGACAGAGTTTGTTTCCCTAGCCTTAGGCGCTTGAGTGTGCTGCAGGGCGGTTACAGGATCCCACAGCATTGGTATTGCAGCGTTTGGAAAGCTTGGGCTGGTCACTGCAGCTGCGCAGAGATGAGTTTGCACAGCCATCTAATACATGTATGAAAAGCAAACGCAAATAATGAGCCACGGTTGACCTGCTAAAGCGGACTTCCTTCTCCAAGCTGAAGATGGCATCAGCCTGGAAGTTGGGAGGTTTTTTGTACAAGATCATCAACAATTAAACATATTGTTGCCAATGGTTCATAGCTGACAAGGTTGCAAAAACCTGAAAGAAGACCAGTGGAAAACTTTTCGCTCTCAAGCCATGGTGAAGTTGCATGGGATGGACCCCCACTGCACACGGCTCCGATGTAGGAATATCTAAGAACCCCAAAACAGCTTGGTCACTGTTATGGCCCCAATCCTGCATACAGAAGGTTTCACTTCTGTATGTGCACAGCCGTGTTCATCACGGCACCCACTCACTCGCACCAAAAAAATCAGATTGCGGCAGCTCACAAGGTGTTGTGATATGCCTTGGTCCGGCAAGGCAAATGCAGATGCAGCCCAAGCTGCTAAGAGGCTAGAACAATATAAACAGAGCTAAGTTACCTCCTTCGCCAAATCCTTTGCTTCTTCCGTGCTCTTTCCTGCAGCAAGTGCAGCCCTTTTGGCTGTGTGGTAAGCGGAGCTTTTGCGAGATTGCCGCCGCTTCTTCTCTTCCTTCTCGTCCACTTCTCCATCATTGCTCTTTGCTATGGAAACGGGGGCGGACTCACCTGCCTCATCGAACTTTGAGGCCATCTTCCGCTTTGTAGATTTCCCCGCATTTTTGCTTTCCACTGGCTTGGGCTTGGTAGCGGCTGACTCCACAGCGGGCTCTTCTGCACACTTCTGCGGCTCAGAAGACTTCCTACTGCGCCGCTTGGCTGGCGGCTCCTCCTCATCTTTGCTTTCCACTGGCTTGGGCCTGGAAGCTTTCTGAGGGCCGCTCTTGCCTGACTCCTTGGCTGGTGGCTCCTTGCCTGACTCTGCAACCTCCTGGGGCACAGAAGACTTTCTGCTGCGGCCCTTGGCTGGCAGCTTCTCTTCAGAAGCTTTCTGAGTGCCTTCCTTGCCTGACTCCTCTGCAACCTCCTGGGGCACAGAAGACTTCCTGCTGCGGCGCTTGGCTGGCTGCTTCTCTTCATCTTGCTCCTTTGCAACCTCCTCGGGCTCAGAAGACTTCCTGCTGCGGCGATTGGCTGGCAACTTCTCCTCATGTTTGCTCTTCACTGGCTTGCCGTCATTGCTGGGCTTCTCAACCGACTTCCTGTGGCCTTTGGCTGGTGGCTCATCTTTTCTGGACTTTGGTTTCGACGCCTTTCCCAGCTTTTCCTCGCTCTTGTCAGGCTCCGGCAATTTCTCTTCATTGAGGTCTTCCTTCTCCTCACCCTCCTCCTCCTCCTGCTCCTCCTCCTCCTGCTCCTCCTCCTGCTCATCATCCTGCTTCGCATTCTTGCCGCGTGGCCTCCCCCTTCCACGTCCTCGTCCTCTTCCTCTGCCTTGAGCCGGCCTCCGTGCTCGCTGTTCGGCTGCCGTTACAGGCACAACCTTCTCCAAAACATCTTTTGGATACTCAATCACATCAATCACCTTCTTGTCAGCCTCAGTCTTGGAAGCATCACTTGGGCCTATCGCTTTCTCATTCTCATTTTCATGCTTCGCTCCAGGCGTGGGAGCTGCCATGATTTCAGGCTTGCTTGCCTGGCTTCCCAGTGGGTCTTCAGCCCCAAGCTTGTTTGGCAAGACCTTTGGTGATGCGGTCTCACTTGTGTGAGCTGGAGCTGCCTGGCCCCCGTGAGAATCCACTTTCTCCATGTCATCGCGCTCCCAAATTGAAGACAAAGACAATGTCCTGGCATAGAGAAAGGTCGGCTTTGGATCAAACAGGCTGGAAACCTCCTGCTCAGATATCACGTGTGCATCTGCTTGCTTCACAGCTTCAACAGCTGAGGCTTGAATAGTTTCATGGTCCATCGGCTGTGTCTCCAAAGCGTCAACGTTGCACACAGCCAAGCTTTCCCCAGCAGGCTTCACCACCTTCACAGGTGGGGCTGGTGGTGGCATGGACTTGTCATCAGGCAGCAAACAGTTTGAGCCAATCACTTCCTTGACAACCGCTTCTCTTGCACGCAAGGCCTTCTCAGCCTGATCTCGATTTGTTGCCCGACAGCGTGCTTCAAACAAATCACGGGAGACCTTGACAGCCCAAATTGCTTGCTCTTTGGAGAAGCCTTCCTGGTGCAAAGTCTCCATATCCTTCAAAGCTCCTTCATCTGTGGGCCTGAGGACTTTGCACCCAGGATCTGTTGAAGATTCAAGCAACGCTTGCTGCAAGCTTTGCTCCTCCAACTCAAGTTGCTGGGCCAACTCAAGTTGTTCCATCAGCTCGCAAAGTTCAAGCTCTTCCTCCATCAGTTTCACGGCTAGCTGTTCGTCCTCCAGCTTTTTGATAGCGTCAATGGTGTCAGGGTGAGCACTTGCTGCACTGGGGGGGGTGACGGCTGTGTTCGTGTTCCCTAGTGGCTCCTCTGGTGGCTCCTCAGCAACCTCGACATCCATGTAGTTGGTGGTGCAGGTCACTGCACGGAGGTCTTGGATGTCACCCAAGATCTGGCACTTGAGGCACCTAAAGCCATAGGTCCTATCCTTGACAATGTGATGTTCATGGATGCTCACCGGCAAATCATCGATTTCTTCGCGTGTCAATGGGGCATCGGGAGGCTTTGAACCTCGGCAAACATGGGTTGGCTTGGAATTGTTAGTCGGGTCGAAGCTAGATCGAAACTTATAATTGATCCATGCAGCCCGGCGGAGGCAGCTTCATCATCCACTCACAGCCAGGATGCGGAGCACTTGGTCGGGATCCTGGTGAGCAGAAGTTTGGGAATAGGGTGGGATGAGTGATCCGGCTCAAGTTGCGAAACTAGTGGGCGGGCACACCAAGCTCTCTCCTTCCAGACCACTTGCTTGGTGTTCTTCAGAAGCGGTTGGCGGTTCCTACAAAGTTGTAAGAAAACATCGATTGGTTCCGAAGAAAAATGCGTATAGAAGAAGGCCTCGTCAGGCTCACAAACGACCATGGGCTCAGGCTCGGTCTTGACAATGGGGTCGCCTACCTTATTGACAGCAATCAAAGGGTCCACCACAGGGTCATGGGCCAAGCTTTCGCATTCACTTTCTCCACCTTCCCCCTCCTCCTGATCATCATCATCAGGAACACCAAGGGAAAGCGAGCTGCCTGGGAAGACATGCATGATCATGCATGCATTTAAACAAATCATGTATGCATACACACTAGCTACTTGACAAACCTCTCATATCAAAGCGCCTTGTGTACCACGGGGTGAGGGTTCAGGTACAGGGATCTCTGCAAGTTCCATTAGCTCCCTAATTTCCACTTCCTTGGGACGATGCCCTCTCTTGATTGCACGGCTGGCGCAGTACACCAGCGACCGTAGAATCCAACCCTCGGTTTGCAGAGCCCCACCTTGGCAATGAAGACCCATGTAGGCGCATAAAACACATGCATGTATGACTATCTAGGTTCAAGGGCATTCAGTAGCAAGGCCCCGACGATCTGGCAAACTCTTTCCACGAGGTCTCATATGACATAGGAAAAGGTTGGCTGCTTCAACCAAAGTAGACAGTGAAGGGCGCAGTCCTGGGAACCCAAAAATAACACCTACCTAGGCAGAAAGTAACGGTTGTGAGATTGACCACATGATCTTAATGCTGGCTATGGTCCCACATACTTTACGATCGGCTTGATGATCGCAATGTTCTGGCATACCTCCTTACGTGTGATGGCCTTGTGCTCATCAACCCTTGCCAAGATCCCCTTGACAGCTAGGTTGCAAACCTGTTCACTGCCCTGCCATGCTGCCACAATTTGCTGCACTTGCTGCTGCGACATTGCGATCTCACAAGCCCACTAGCTACAGAAAGCAAAATGCTGAGGAAGGGTGACAGTGGTGACAACACACTCTCCACCAATCACAGCCCTTGCATGCCAAAAACTCACGATACATAAGGACCAAAGACTGATGGCCTTCACAGCTCAGGCCCTATCATCACGTGGAGTACCTCGAGCGCGCACTCGACAGCACCTGTCAGTAGAGTGCCTGTTCACATTGGGGGCACGTGCCGTGCACCGGAGGCACAAGGTCGTTGGAACCCAGGCAGCCAAAATGGCTGATGAGGATCCACAAAGCGTTTTTGTTCAAGCGTTTGTTCATCGATCGAATTCACGGATCCGAGCATAGCGTCCAAAGAATGCCTCTTTTACATAAAGCGCTCGTTTTGCTATGAAGTGCCTCGTTTGACACTTTGCGCTCGTTTTGGGCTAGAGGCAAATATATGCGCTCGTTTGAAGATCTAGGTATACTTTAACTAACTGTTGGTTCATCAAAATCTGCAATCATACAAATTGCATCAATCTGCAAACAAATCAGTGCCAGAAATGTTAGTTCCTGGAAGCAACCCACTTTGGCAATGAAAGAACACTATCCCCAAATAGTCAACAACTCCCCTTCTTTCTGTGCCGAACTGAAAAACTAGCAGCTACTGATTTCAGGTCACATCTCCATCCAACAGCTCACACAGCTGAATATGCCCAAACAACGACCAACCCCACCCTCTCAACCTTCGGCATCCACGTCCATCCACCGGGGACCCGGTCACCATCGCACCTGTAGGTGCCGGCCGCATAGGTCGGCATTTTGGCACCGGCAGGCTCGAAGACCTGCGGCGGGTCATGGAGCGTTGGCATGTTGGTGTCCCGTTTGGGCGACCCAGTCGTACCTTCGTTTCGTTTCGGTGGGACGCCAGGGTGGGTGGGTGCCAGGAGGGTCCAGTCATAGTCATACCTGAGGAGGTGTCAATGAACATGACATGGTTCAAAGTTCAAAGATAAGAGCGATGGCCTCTAAACTGTCTAGTTGGATTCTTGCATACGCCCGTTCTTGGAATGTCTTTCCTTCTGCGTGCCACAAGCAGGCTGCGCCACAAGCAGCCATCAAATCATGAATTGGCAGTCTCAGCCATAGAGTCAAGATTCTGGATCAACCCCACAACTCGTGAACTCATGCGGCTCTTGGGACGTCCTTGCGACTTTTTGGGGCACACCCTCGCTTTCTGCAGCTGCTACGCTACGCCTTTTATATGCTACGCTAGAAGGATATCACACGACCACGGTGGCAGAGTGGAGGATTGGGGCGAATTACATTGGACTAGCGGCCATCCCACTTGGGAAACCGTTTAGCGCAGGCAGTGTAGCTGAGCATGCAGGTGTGATGGCCGCTCCGCAAACGTTGAGAAGTTGGGCCGACGCCCGCGCCCCAAGCAGCGCAAGTGACTAGCGCACAAAAGCGCAAGTGCCAACTGCGTCCGGGCTGCTTGTGCCGATCTCAAGATCGACACCTCCAACGCTAACATCATGCCAGTAAGGCGGATGCCCATAAAGTCATATCGCAAGGTCTGGCAGACCTTGTGATCGTGTGTAGTGCATTACGGGAAGCTACAGCGCTGGCGATTTGGATTAAACTCCTAAGAAGTGGATGCATCATCTATGTTCACCCACATTTAAAGAGTGATCGTTGGACCGACCCTGTACGTATGCCCTGCTTTTTACTTTCAAACATGGGTATTATATCAATATGTACGTATGCCCTGCTTTTTACTTTCAAACATGGGTATTATATCAATATATATATATATAGAGTGATCCCAGACCTTCGGGCTCAAAAGCTCAGGGTCTCGTGGAGGACAGGCCTCCCGGGACTGCGGGTCTCGGCCACCAGCCGGGAACGCAGTGTCTACAAGGGCACTGACATCCAGGCCCAGCCATTTGTGCGGTCTGAAGGCTTCTCGTAGATTCCTGTGGTTTCTTTTGCAATGGATCGTTTTCCTGCGCTTGCGACCGTCGAGGAACCGTTTCGCACTCGCATGGCTGCCTTTCTCGATGCTGCACGGCATGAAGGTCCTTTCCTTCGGTTCGGGGATGAGCGCATGTGTGTTGGCGAAGCTGTTGGTATTTGTGGGGATGTGATCGACACGAAGTTGTTCAATTTCCTTCCCGGCAGGGGTTGGTGTTTGGATGATGCTTGTGAGTCCCGCTACAGCATTTCCATACCTGACATTGAGAAACGACCGATCAATTTCTATGTTGGAGCACAATTTGTCTGCAAAGGAAAGATGTCCCATGGTGGCACGTCCAATACGGTGCACTTTGACACCAATGTGGCCATTTGCACCAGACCGACATTTGATGCTGACATGACGTGGTCTGTCATCCACCTGTTTTCAGGTGGGTTCGCAGGTTGGGGCCAAGCCATGGCTTGGATCAATACGAGTGACTTGGCAGTGAACATTGGGCAGCAGCTGGACATCGATTGTGCACCTGAGGTCATTCAGGTGTGGGAGAAGAAACATGGCATGAAAGCGCTTGGAGCACCAATTTCGCCTTTCATTAGCTGGTCCCCACAGGACAACCTCGCTGTGTGTGGTCATGTGGCCGATTCTTCCCTTTTGAATCTTTCACAATGCCAGCTGAACTTGATAGTCACCATGTCACCGCCCTGCCAGAGCTGGTCGAAAGCCGGCCTCGGGAAAGGGCTGTCCTCAACAAATGGGCTAGCTTTTGCAGAAGCGCTTGTACAGGCATTCGGGTTCCAATCCCTTTTGGTTCTCGCCGAGTGCTCGGACGGGATCAGCCGGCACGACCATTTTAAGCTTTTGACCGATTTGGCACGTCTTTTCGGCTATCGTTTGATTTGGTCACAAGATACCACTCTACACCAGGTCTCTCCTCAGAACAGAACAAGATGGTTAGGAGCATGGGCCAGAGCAGACCTTGATGCCAGGCCTTTTGACGTTCGCCTCACCCCATCATGCCTGCCTCGTGTTCATTGGTCACACGACTCTTTCGAGTTCACCCTGCCCAGGATTTGGCTCGACCAGATGCTGCTCTCAGATACGGAGAAGAAGACCTACGGGGACATTCGATTCCTTCCGTCAGCCAAGGCCATGTCCCTCGGCAGTGCAACAACCGTCACTCAGGTCCTCATGGCCCGCTTGGTCCATGAGCATGAATTGATGCCTACGCTTTGTGCCTCGTACACAGAGCAACATTTGCTCGCTCCACAGCATCTAGCTCGCAAGGGGCTGTTTGCGGCATTACAACTGCTACCGGCAGGTTTCGCTTTTTTCGACCCTGCCAAGTTTGTCGCCATGTTTGGTGCCTTCACAGACCAAGTCCTCCCATCCAAACTCTCTGAGGCTTTTCGCTTGGTAGGCAACGCTATAGCTGTGCCGCATTCCCTGCTTGCCGTCCTCGTTGGTTTCCAATCCATCCTGTCCATCCGCATCGACATCTTCGATCAGGTGAGGACATGTTGGACTTCCAAGCTCACCGCAGACAATGCCTTGGTCTTCCCAGATGGCCCCCTTGGTGCACATTGCGAGGCGCTGCAATTGTCCCCGGTTCATTCAGCTCCGCACTGACTGCCCACGAGATGGGGACTACGAGATCCATATTCGTTTGCACCAGGGCAACCTCGCCCTCACCACCTTCGCATCAGCAACAGCCACCATTGGTCATTGCATCGACATCGCTTTTGATGCTCCTCAGATGCTGCGCCGCTTCATCACTGTCACCTTCGACGGCCAACCACTGGACCAAGCCATTTGCATCACAACATGCACAGCCCAATGCACACCGGGCACATTCCACATCGGCAGCACGGCATTTGGCACTTTTCAGGTACAGGCTGAACCGGCACCACCTGCCAAACGAATGAAGCAGGACAGCACTACCCTTGTCGTTTCCCCACGCTGCCATACTCCATTCATGGGGAGACGGCTCCTGCACTCGTCTCAGTTCCTCAGGCCACTTTCGAGCAAGCCATCCGACACCTCACCAGTATTGGGCTTTTCCCGCTTTTCGAGCAATGCCAGATTCACCCACCCAGCCAGGCCTACAATTTCACCTTGCTCCTGCCCAGCCAAGGGGTATCCTACTCCAGTTGGATCCCTGCCTGTGAACACGACCAATTCGTGCACAGGGTACGAACCATAGCCAAGACCACCATTGGCCTGTACAAGCAATACATCAACGAGCACATCCACTCAGCCATTGCCATTTGGCAACCAGACCCCAGAGCAGAACAGCGATGCATCCTCCTCCGCCTCGTGGACGAGCCGGCGATTTGGGCTTGCCTTTATACGCCAACCTTGCAAGTTGGCACTCAATTCCAGCTCGGCAGCCGTGCGCATGCAATCGTCGACATCAATGGCTCCCCTTGCAACGCAGACCAGAGCCTCTCCAATGGAGACTTCATCACCCTGCAACCTCACTCCACCATACGTGCAGGTGGTCATCATGGTGGTGGTGCGCCTTTGCAGCTTCCTCAGGATGCCGACTTCACCCAGAGGGCAGAGTTTGCGGCCAACACGCACGGCTGGCTGGCAGCTGATGAAATGTCCTTCATTTGTCAGTCGTTGGCCTGGTCACCTGGTGCTGATCTGCATTTTTCACCACCAGTGTATTGGGATATCAACAAATCAGAATTTGATGAAGGACCGTTTGGACGCCCCATTGTGTGGGATGCAGGCCAGACCAACATTCCCATCCTTGCAGGGAACCACTGGTGCGGCATTGAAGTCGTCAAGACCAACAATGTGGTTCGTGTCACCACAGTCCATGTGCCTGTCCGGCTCCAAACCAGAATCATCCTGATTCTTGCCAGACTGATCGATGTCGGACCGCGCCGCATGCAAATCGAGTACGATCATCCCGATCACACACCACACTTATGTGGCTGGCAATTGCTGTTCAGGTGGGCAACGCAACTTGGCGTGCAACACAACATTGCCGAAATTGATGCCCAAGCTCCCACCAGCCCTCAGCACACTGACCAGATCAATCTGGTCATGCAGGCCTCCATTGAAGACTGGATCAGAGCTGACGCTCCGCTACATCTCCAGAACTTTGCCACGAGGCTGCGCAGGCATTTCTTTGTGGCCCTTGCTCGCAGGCATGACAGGACCGGGCCCGCAAATCAGAGACCACTGGCTACTGCCTTTCCGGTCGATTTCCAGCCCCAGCCTGCCCATCAGCCACAGGTGGCATACAATCTCCAGTTGAACCACATCCACGAGCGTATCGTCACTCGGCTCCATGGGCTCAACATCCACCCGGCATGGGCCTGTTCTGATGAGATCAATGCTGCGCTTGACCTTCCTCGCAAGATCCTGCCAGACACCATGCTCTGCCAACCAGCCATATGGGACAGTGTTGCGGATTGCCTCATCTTTCCAAACACACCGCCTCCCAACATCCAACCGTACCGACATGTTTTGTGGCCCATCATGGAGAACAATCAATGGATGTTGGCTGAGTGTTACAAAGATGACAGACGGGCTCAATTTTTCCTTACTGCTCCGCCCAATTCCACAGGAAGACTCCTACCATTGATCCAGCACCTCCGCACCGCCCTGGGATGCCAAAGCCAAGACTTCCTGTTGCACTGTGCGGACCAAACCAACCCACATGGCCTCTGTGGGCAATACATCGTAGCAGAGATCTACCACCGCATTGGCATTCAGATTCCACCTTTGTCCACCAGTCAGGAGCTTGAGATACAGACCTCCCCGCATGCTGCACTCATCGCAACAACATTGCAACAAGCCAGGGATGCCTGGGCCAGGGCCCTTGTTCCTCCGGACCTGCTACACTTTGCAGAC